AGGAGTCGTTGTGGTCCCGGGCTGTGTGGACAGGTGCAGTCAGCTGTCTTATTAGGTCCTGACAGTCCCTGTGCATTTCTTCATTATCGGGGCTGTGTGTAGACCAGAAAGATCTTCAAGATAGGAAATGAACTACGGATAAACAAATTCCAGAAGCAGAGTGGGAGGGGGCAGAGGATGCTCGAGAAGTTTGACTCCGTCGCTGGGGAAACCACACACACACAGGTACGGAGGCCCTTCAGGATGCAAAGCTGCCTGTGGCAGCTCCAAGCAGGCGCTTTCCTACTTTCCCTTCCCAGGGATGGTCAGGCATTTCCAGTGAAAACAAGAGAGCTGTGTCCTGCTCTGCCACACAGAGATGATTTCCCAGTTGGAATCTGGTTTGCATTAAATGTTACGCCAAAATATTTTTTGCAAAGTCTGCTTGTCTGCCACCCTTTGTTCTCCTATTACTTTCCTAAAACGACTTCATTCAACCACACAGGGCAATGTCTAGAAGACCGGGGTGATGTTTGAGAGACAATTAAGAGCACAGGGCATTCCACGGGGAAGGAAGAACTCTGTGTGTCTGGAGTAGCTCTCTGCATGGATGCTTGCAACACAGTTGCCACATTGTGCTAACAGTCAGACTAGTGTTTGTCTTAAAGTAGCAATAATACTCTGGCTATTTCATGCTTCAGTAAGATATTTAAATGGAAATGACACTTTTTTTGGCTTTTAGGAATCAGAGTTGGTTGCATTTTGATAATCCTTTGGCTCTCGGTAACTGAGGGTAAGCTACCCTTTGGGGTACGTTGGATGGTGATGGGGCCCCACGGCGTCATGCTGCTGTTGCATTGCTCTGACTGGGGGCTCTGCAGGGTGAGAACAAGGAAGTTGCTTTTACATTCCTCCCAACAGATGTTCTTGATAGTGAGCTTCAAGTCAGGTCTGCTGCAGCAGTAGTGGGTTTGAGAACAACAGATCTTGGCCTCTCTCTCTATCCCCTTTGGAGTTTTTAGCAGGAGCCCAGGAAAGTACAGAGGTCAAAATTAGATGATCAGTTTGCACAAGCTCTTGGAACACTTGCCTGATGGTGTGCAGAACCTGGCACAGCAGGGACCCTCCCCAGCAACCAGGATCACCCACAGGCACCCTGACTGTGCAAATATCAGAGTCTCTGATCACTCCTCTAATTTAGGGAAAGGTGGGGGTTTGGCATTGCAGTGGAAGAAGGAAGGCCACTCTGCAAATGAGAGAATGTCTAGCCACAGCGTGCCAAGTAATTTTGCCTGTCACCGTCACCTACATGAAGTTGGCTTCAGCTTTCCACTGGGAAACTGTTCACGTGCCCAGGGTTTGCCGTGACCTGGAGTGGAAAAGGTGCCCTTACTGTATTTTTCCAGAAACTACATTTCAGCCAGGCCAAGAATCCAGGAACATCACCAGGGAGGAAACAAAGATATCTCTGCAGCTATTTGAAGGTGAAAAATCCTTCCATAGGAAGCACAATGATCTTAATTAAATATTAGCTGTAATTAGCCTAAAGTGCAAATGTTGAGAATATTAATTAGGGTCTCTCTGGAACGGCTGTCAGTGTTAATAAGTAACTATAGGGGGTCCCACCAACATCTGTTTGAGAAATCCAGGTACGGGATGAAATCCAGAGGCTCTGTATCTGGATGCTGACAGAGGCTCCTTGGCCACCATTGACTGAGTCTCTGGAGCTCAGTGTGCTGGGTTTTCCAGAATGGCACGAGCCTTGGTGGAGGTGGGTGGTTGGCTTTGGCTTCAGGGATGCCCCCAGCTGGCTTTTGCCATCCCTAGGCCAGCCGGGAGCTTCCTGCCGCCAGGTCTCAGGCTGAGTTGGTGCGAAGGTTTCCCAGGCTGTCACTCTTGCACCTGCCAATAGTTACAGACCTAAGTTGGCAAACAGAACTGCCAGCACCTTTGATTCAGGTACCCCAGCCCCTGATTTTCCCACATGAGTAATATAACAATAGGTGAGAAACAGGTCTTGGGCCCATGGTTTATGTGTTAGAGAGGGAGCCAACCTCCCCACCAGGTGATCCTCTTGCTGGATGAGAGATACCTGAGCACATTACAGAGTGGCTTAGGTTCAAGCCCTGGCTCCCCTGGGAACCACCTGTGGCTGGGACTTTGCATAGTTGTCTTCCAGTTCTGAGCTGGAGCATCTTGGACTACAAAGTCAAGTGGGATTAGAGGTGCAAGGCATGCAAAGCAGGCATTCTAGACCTGCGCCTGTTAACTTCTGGGGGCAGACCCATCTTGGGGGAGGGGCTGGCTTGGGCACTGAGGGTGACCAGCAGTATCCCTGACTCCCCCCCCCCCCCCACTGGATGCTGGTAGCTACAAACGAGGCATGTTGACTGACATCCCTATGTAAGAATTACTGATGTAAACACCCACCAGACCTGCAGAGAAGGACAGCAAGGGTCCGTCTTCTGAGCACCGGCATGGAAAGGGGCTGCCTTTCAGATGGAACATAGAAACCTGAGGCTCCTGTGGGCCTTCTCGTGATACAGAATTCCACTGAGTGGGCAGCCTGCGTGCACGCGTGTTTTCAAGTAAGAGATCTGGGGATAGAAAGCAAATTCCAGGAGAGATTCTGACTCCCTCATTTTGCACCAACCTCAACATGGCTGGTCTCCAATAACTGCTCAGATCCCATCATTTCTGGGGCTGTTCATCAGCCACAAAGAAGTGGCATCACTGTAGATGGTTGTACACAAGGATGTAGTCCTGGAGTAGTCTGGAAAAAAATGCTAGTTGAGCTATAAAATAGCATAGGATTTTTTTTTTAATCTGCCAAGGCCTTGTTTGCTTGTAACTAGCAGGAAAAAGTAAGTTAAAGAAAGCAAAGGGTGCATGGTTTTGTTTGGGAATGAGTTCTAAAGATATAGGCAGTGTGGGGACAGGGTACCATACTGTATCATGTACTTGAGATGTGCTAAGAGGATGAGCGCACACACAGGCGGAAACTACAATTGGTTGGAATACAGTGATCATTCCACAGTGCCTACCTTTGTGAAAACACCCAGTTACACGCCTTAAATAAATGCAAATCCTTTTGTGTTAATGGCAACTTAGTAGAGTTCTTCATCATAGGACATTTACGGACTTTTGTAACTAAAACAGGGACCTTTGTAACTGCCGGTGCCCTGGATTCCAGACTCCAAAGGCTGCCTGCAGACACGGCTGCAGCCTCTCTGCTTCCCCACTCCCTGGCTCTAGTTTTCCCTGCATTGGCTCCACCTGGAGGCAGGTCCTCTTAATCATCCCCTTTATCTTTCCAGCTGCCAATCACAGTGGACAGAGAACATCTTCCCCAGAATGGTAGGGAAAGTCCACGGTATGAATAGGGCTGGCTCACTGGGTAGATACCTGTGAGCCCACTGTGGCAGTGGGACATTCTGCTTGGCCAGCTTAGCATCACATGACTGTACCTAGGGGTACCTGGAGCCCAGGCTGTGGCCAAGAGTGGGACTGCCCCCCAAATCAAGACTGGGGAGCAATGACAGTGTTGTCAGTGGTTTCCAGGACTGGGCAGGGCCACTGCTTCTGTGTGGCAGTGCAGCCCCCACCTGGGGCAGACCCTCCCCCCTCCACCAGCCCAGGTGTTAAGGGGGGAGAGAGAGAGAGAGAGAGAGAGAGAGAGAGTTGAGCACTGGGGCTTCCAATAGCACAGACATTTGGAGAGATCAGTCTGGAGGAGGAAAGAACCTGATGGGAATGTTTGCACTTGTGAAATATTTTAAACTTATCCTAAGCTTCGTGCTTCTCAAGTGCCATCTCTAACGAGCTAATTAAGGTCCTCCCTAAACAACTGCGCCAGCTCTGCGCGCTGCTGGGAGCGTTCCCTCCATCCTCCGCCATCCTGGTTTCCCGGACTTGAGGACGCTTGGGTAGAAGAGGGTCTGAAAGGCTGGTGGCGCCTACTGGGGCGGCGTGAGCTGTCCTGACACTTTGGCCCAACAATCATCGTACAGGCGCCAAAGTCCCATCCAATTGACCACAGCCCGTGGGAGCAGCAACTGTTGGGTGGACCTCATCACTAAGCTGTTTTTCTCTCACCATCTCCCTTTTTCCAAGATTTGGATGTTGGGCTTACATACAGTTTCTTATGCCTTCTCTTTGTGTGTGTGTGTGTGTGTGTGTGTGTTGCGTTGTGAAGTTGTGGGGGTGGAGGTGTGAACTTCTGAAATGGAAGCATTTGAATTTAGGTTTGAGGTTTTGGTTTTTTTTTTTTTTTTTTTGACTGTAATATCGTGCTGCATGTTTTACCTATCTCTGAGGTTGAAGTGTTATATAATACTCTGCTTATTTAAAAAAAAAAAAAAAGGAAGAAGGGGAGGGGGAACACTAATAAACCTACGAGCTAAGTCCCAAATTTTGCAGGAAATCTCACCATGGGGACATCACCTAGACCATCGTTGTTCAGATGAGGCCCTGGCTTTGCGCTAGGAACGCCTGTCACACACACACACACACCCGCCAGACTTGGGGGCCGTTAAAAGGACCCTCCCCCATCCATTATGTGAGCCAAGTCACATAAAATTCTGATTAAATTCTAATGCCGAGATGAATTCTCTTCCCCTCAAGAACACACACATTCAGTTTAATCTTTCTTGGCACTTTAAGTATCGAATCAAAGTTCTGCTGTCACCGTAGACAACTCCATGCTCACCACTTCCAAAATGGAAATGAAATAAGGAAGATAAGCCTGGGAACACCAAAGATGCAATCCAGTAGGACACAAACCCTCAGCGTCAACAAACGTGACCTCATCTTTCTGAGCCTCCATCTCGGTGGAACCCTGACTCCTGCTTCTGCCTAGGGGCTGATGAAGATCCCCGGGGATTGGTCCGGCTCAGGTGCAGGTCCTGTGCGTGCGCCTGGGAAGGACCCGGGACCAGGCGCCCGTGGGCCTTGGGCAAAGGGTCTGCTGGGTGCATGCTCACCGTTCTCTCTCCCTCTCTCTCCACCTGTTTGGTTTTCAGGGTAATCAGGAAGCCGCAGCCGCCCCTGACACAATGGCTCAGCCTTACGCGTCGGCCCAGTTCGCTCCCCCTCAGAACGGCATCCCCGCGGAATACACGGCCCCTCATCCCCACCCCACGCCAGAGTACACGGGCCAGACCACCGTCCCCGAGCACACGTTAAACCTGTACCCTCCCGCCCAGTCGCACTCGGAGCAGAGCGCCGCGGAGAGCAACGCGCAGACCGTCTCCGGCACCGCCACAGTAAGGGGGCGCTTCCTGCGGGGCCGGGCTTGGGGTGGCCTTGCCTGGGACCTGGGACAGGGCAGGTGCGAATTCCGGGGGCCCCTGGGACGCGGAATGCCAGGGGCTGCACCTCCAGATCCGAGAGCCTCTGGCAGCCCAGCGGCCCCTGGGCCAGACCTTGGCACACCAGCGTCACAGCTGGCCTGGTCAGCGTGCCCTCTTTGCCAGTATTAATGTAAATCAGCACGTTTTTCGTGAACCAGTCAGTTATGTAGGAAGGCATTCGATTTTGGGTTTTTGTTTTTTCCAATTCCTATTGTTTTGCCTTTTCCAGAATGCCATCCGAATGGAGTATTTTTTTTTTTAATCAGTCTGGTGAAGATAACAATTTACAGTGATAAAATGTGCCTCTGTTAGATGTACAGGTCACTGATAGTTGGTGTGTTTGCATAGCCGGGCAAACACCACCACAGTCTGATTTGGGTGCATGAGATGCACCTATGTCGAGAGGCTCCTTATTTCTTCAGTTTCCTTGCTGGGCTGCTGGGTTGGGAGCGGTGTGGCCGGCAAAGGGGCGCACCAGAGCACTGGGGTGCAGGAGGGAGTTGTCCTCCCCGCCAGTGGTGGTGGTTCATGACTCCAGACAACAGAACAAGTGGATTTTATGGCATGCAAACAGTTGAAGACGAACACACGAACGAGAGAAACGTTTTACCACCATCGTCCGTGAGAACTAGTGGTGTGGGCCATTCATCAGAGAGAGCCCTACACAAAAAATAGTCGGTATCCTTGGACTCTGCACCCTCCATCAGCTGTGGATGAAAAATACTTGGGAAAGGAAGTAGCATCTGCACATCTATGTGGACTTTTCCTGCCTAAATAATAGTGCAGCGACTTTGCATTGCATTGTGCTGGGAGACTGGGAATAACTTGGAAGTGATTTAAAGCAGACGTGAGGATACTTCATTGCGTATCAGGGACAGGAGCACCTGCAGGCTTGGCTATGGGTGGGGTCCTAGAATCAGCCCCACAGATATCGGGAGATAGTTAAGGGTTAAAGCCGTGCTCACTTGGTGCAGCACCTGAAAAGCTGTGCTCGCCACAGGACCCACAGGGACCACACCTGGGAAACTTCGTTCTTCAGAGTTCTTTAGAAAAGCTTGGGCAACCTAGGTCTCTAGAGCATTCCGCAGGTGCAAGGTGATTCTGCCCCTTCGCTTGCTCCTGTGTTTGTGGAGCAGCGTGTGGGTATGGAGAGCCACACCTTTCCTGTCCTAAGAGCCAGCACTGACTAACTCTACTACCAGGCACTTCATGCACTTCCAAGTTAGTTTTGGAGATTTCAGAAATCGGTAGATAGCTGCATTTTTCTATGGATTCCCCTCGTTGATTATTCGTGGTGAGATTCATGTAACATGAAATTCACCTTTGGAACGCGCCGTAGCACCCCTGTCTGCTCTCATCACGTTATAAAGAAACCCCCTGTCCCCCCCCCCCCCCAGTCTCTCCCGCCCCCATGTCAGCCACCACCCTCTTCCTCTCTCTGTGAGTTTGCAGTTTCTGGGTATTTGATAGAAACAGAGCCTACAAGGTAGAGCTGCTTCAAGCTCACCTCCTGTTGCCTACTCCGTTGAGTGGATGTGCCAGCTTCACTTGTCCACTCATCTGGCCAGATGGGTGGGGTGTTTCCCCTCTTTAGCTCTTGTCAACAGTGCTACAGTTGCCTTTTTGTCTTGCTGCTGCACCTCGGGCATGGGTGCCTCACTTGGGTCTGCTGGCATAGCTGGTGTTTGCTGTGGCCGTGCTGCTACTATGCTGGTTACTTGGTGATCATCACTGGTGGTAGAGCCTGGCTGAGTTGTTTTCATACTACAAGGAGTCCAAGAAGAAGTTACTTATCAAACCTTGATGGGTGCTAAGAACTGCACTAAGTGCATGAATGGTTCATTCATTCATTCATTCGTTCGCAAATATTGATCAGCATCTACTGCAGCCAGGACTCAAGCTAGATGATATGTTTGAACCAAAAAGGCACAGCCTTTCTGTCTTGTGAATTAGAGAGGCAGACAGTGAGTGTGGGGCAAGTGGCTCTGTAATGAGAATGTGGCCAGACATTGTGACTTGTGCTTCTCAGGAAAGAATGGGACAGGTGCAATGGGGAAATCAGAACAAGAGAGCTCCTTGAAAGGGGGTGCCCTGGTGCTCTGTCCATAAGGTGATGCTACTTGGAGTGAGAAGATCACACTTTCCGGACAAAGGGAATGTCAAGGTCAAAGGCCCCGAGTTGGAAAGAGTGTGGCTCCTTCAGAAAAGAGGCCCTTGTGTTCAGGTCAAGGAGAAGGAGATTTGAGGGTACAATGGGAAAAAATGAACTTGGAGCAATGAGCAAGAATTATATGTCCTGCAGCCTCATGTGTTCAATGAGAGGTTGGAATTCCATGTTAGGAGCACTGGGAAGCCATAGGACAGCGTGTGAGCCAGGAGAATTATCCTGGCTCAAAGGTTTGAAATTTATTTGAGAGGCAGAGTTAGAGGTGGGGGGGGGGCGTTGGGTGGGTGGGGAGAGAAAAGCCTTCCTCTCTCTGGTTCACTACCCAAATGGCCACAATGGCCGAAGCTGGGCCAGTGTGAATCCAGGAGCCAGGAGCTTCCTCTGTGTCTCCCATGTGGGTGCACGGGCCCAAGGACTTGGGCCATCTTCCACTGCTTTCCCAGGCCATAGCAGAGAGCTGGATCGGAAGTGGAGCAGCCTGGACTCGAACTGGCGTCCATATGGGATGCCAGCACTGCAGGCAGAGGCTTTATCCACTACACCACAGTGCTGGCCCGAACCAAGGGGATTATAAAGTAAAGTTTAAAAAGAAAAGGTCAGTGAGACTTTGCTTAAAGAAAGTCTTAATCCAGTTGGGGATTGCATCCATCCTGGCCTGCAACAAGAGCACTGTAGAGATGGACACAGTTAAATTAGCATGTTGTGAGTCCATTGGGGAGCACAGGATGTGTGCGCCGCTCATTACAATAGTGGGCCCATCTCTGGAGCATGGCTTTGCGAGGCTGTCACGTGCTAGGGCCATGGTAGCAGGAGACACTTCCAGAGGGTTTGCCTCAGCGTGGGGGTCAGAGAGGCAGATGTGTGTGCATTTCAGGGTGTCCTGGTTAACAGAAGTTGAAAATGAAACAGAGAAGGCACTGGCTCTTGCAACAAGAAGTCCCAGAGGGACAGTGGCTTTAAAGCCAGCTTATTCCTAGGCACAAGGAGATATGTCTCGGGCTTCACCACCTGTGCCCCCTCTGTAATCCGGCTGTGTCCCTGGGAAGTCAGGCTCTTCTCAAAACAAACAACGAAGCCCAAGGCTCTTGGATCCATCCCACACAAGCCTGGCACTCAGGGTCCCTCCCTGCACAGGTGGTGACACTTGGAGTCAGTGGCTCCACACCCAAATCCATGCAAGGGGTGAGGGCCGTTTCCTCCTGGTCAGTGACAGGATGCCTTCCCTGCACTGGTATATCCTCAGCTGCAGGGAAAGGAGAGAAAAGGCCACGTGCACAGAACAGCACAGGAGGGTGCACAGGAGGCAGGCTTGGGGATAGGAGGAGCTATTGAATGAGACATAAAGGGGGCTTTCAGCGTGGGGGTGTGGGGCTGTAGAATCCTGGGGAGGGGTGACCCAAGGAGACATTTTTGAAGCTAACAGTTTGGACATCCCTGAAGATGTGGAGGAGGGCAGCAGAGAGATGCCAGGAGATCAGGAGTCGAGGAATGAATGGGCTGTGTTGGGTGCGTGTGCTGTGCACTTGGCAAACTCTTGGAGAGATGAGAATATAGAAAAGGGAGCAGGTGAAAGGCAGTGGTGTCAGAGAAAGCTGTCTGTGGGGTGTTTGACCTAGGGTGACTCCAGGAAGCAGAGTGGAAGGGCCCTCCACGGCGGAGGAAGGACTGCGGGGAGAACAGGAACAGAGCGAGGGAATAGGGCTGCAGGGAAGGAAGTGAGGAAGTGTTTGAGAAAGTAAGAGAGACCAGGACCAAGGCTGGGCAGGTAGGGCAAGCTGATGAGGAAGGAAGCAGGCTTTTGTTTCCCCGGCTTTATTGGCCTGTACTTGCCATACAATAAATTGCGCACATTTGGTGTGCAGTGTTTATGTGTCCACAAACATACATACGTGCCGAACAAATAGCACTCTCAAGAGCATGAACTTAGCCATCAGCCCCGAGTTTTCTTTTTTTGTTTTTATCTTGTTATCTTACCTTTCCCCCTCTTCTGCCTCATTCCCAGGCAACCAACTCATCTGCTTTCACTGTAGCATAGTATGCAGTTTTTTGAATTTTGTTAAGGAAATCAAACCTGGGCTCTTTTTTCCCGGCATCCTTCAGTCATCATCCTTATTTTCAGATGGATCCATATTGTTGCCTACAGCTGTAGCTCACTACTTTTCAGGACTGTGTACTATTCCAGTGATTGGTACTATGCCACGGTAGGGTGTGCTGTAGTTTGTTTCTTCATTTTCTTATGGATACGCATTTTGTTTATGTTCCATTCTCAGTCACTAAAAATAAAGTTGCTATGAACCTTTGGGAACATTTTGACTTAGAAATAGGAGAGAAGGGAGAGTTATTGTGTGATGTTGCTGAGAGATACAGGAGTAAAGATGTGAGGAATTCATTCTCCCGTGCCTTCGTGTTTCCCTTGAGAAAGTCATTGGCATTTATGTAAAGAGTGAACAAAAGGGGTTTGGAAACAAGGCGAGGATGCCGGAATTCGGGTCGCTGTGCTGGGAAGCCACCTCCTGCCATTCCTAGAGTATTTGAATGCCGGCAGGTGCTGGAGACTGGGGATGGGAATGTGCAGCGATGCTGTTTGGCCCCAACTTCTTCGTCTCCTGCACTGACTGAGAAGTGCACCTGTTAGAGGAGACTCTGTGGCAAACACAGCCATTGTGGGCTGTTGGGACGATGTTGTGAACGCACAGTGGGGAAGAGCAGGGATCAGAAGGGGCCATCTTGTTTTCTACGACATGTA